AAGTGGGAAAGAGGATGAGAGGTTAAGTACGCGTAGACTTGGATTAGCTTTTTGCAAAGATACTGCAAAGGAGAAAGGTAAGTTACGTAGGGTGGGGGTAGGGGGGGGTGGGGTGGGATACTAACAAAATTACCACTGTTAATTAATTAATTACGAGCACTAAAAATGGGTAATTAGGCTTTCTTTTTTCTGCTTTTGTAGCTAGGTGATAATGATGGAATGAGGTGGGTAAGATGCCAAAATTGACAAGATGGTTGAAAGGTATTCGACGCAAATTATGCACATACTCCCTCCCTCATTAAATATTTGCCACACTTGTATTCCCAAGATAAAATATTTAATTCATTTTATTTACATATTGGTATAGAAATAAAAAATAAAATTTATATATCAAAAAACTATATGAAAAGTTCTTCGAAATAAGAAGTGCCAAGAATATTTTATTTTATCAAATAACCAATGAAAACGTAGAAATAAAAAGTTCCCGCAACAGCTGAAAAAGCAAATGTTGTGAATATTTTGGGACGGAAGGAGTATATATATATTCATATACTCTCCCATAGATCTCTACCATCCATACCTCATACGTATCTCCTGCCAAATACCCTCTAACCCATCTTATCATCTAGCCCACTATTCTTTTTTTTTATCACTCTTTTTTCTTCAAATCCAAACTTAACACAAAGTATTTATTATTATTCAAAGAATTTCTGTGTTAATGTATTTATCTAGTTTGATTTTATATACGGAGTAGTTAAATTTGATAAAATATGTTAATTGATTAATTGAAATTTCGATACTTATTAGTTCAAGAATGACTTAATTAAATGTATCCTTTTCTTTAGGTATTTTGTTTAGTTGTTGATTTTGTAATAATGTAGTTATGTCACCATAATTTTGTGATATTTGATTTAAATTATTTTTTATCAACACAATTTTAATTCTATATATATATATATATATATATATATATATATATATATCCTTTATATATAATATTTGAGAGTTGAACTCTCAGAATTGCGACATTTGGCGTGCTGACTGGAACTTTTTTTGACACTTCATCAGCCACGTCATCAAAATCGACTTCCTCAATATTTCAAACGGGTTGGCTTCTAGAATTGTGACATATGGCGTGCTTATTAGACAATTTTTTTAACATATCAGCATGCCATGTTAGCAAGTAATGTTTAAAAAATAGTTAACAAAAAAACTTATTATGCGGAAATTAAATTTCATATTTGTTACACACAAATTTCTCCATATAATCGCGTATAAAAACTTTTATATTTTCATTCATAATTGGAAAATATTTAAATTAAATAGTATATTTTGAAATTTAAAAAAAAACACATATTCAAAAACTATAATCAAAACAAATAAATTTACTTTAAGAACGGATAGATTGGTAGGACTAAACAAAATTACATTTGATTTTTTTTACATTTGATGTGTGAATTTCGGGAAACTTTGTTATGACATGAACTATGAAGAAAGAATCAAATGAATAAAGATTCAAAACATCTGAAGTTTTCAATTTATTGCATAAAAGAAAAAGTTTAATTGTCTCTTCTAAAGAAAATCATCTGATTTGCTCTATAATTTATTTTATGGTTTTGGTGTGAAGAGTTCTCATTACCATGAAAAATTTAAATAAATACAATTGTATGCTTTCATTAACATTTATAAATGGAAATATTGATACATCTCACAATAATGGTTGAGCAATAATGTACTCTCAGCGGACACATTCATCATCACATACCATGTTTAATGTCACAATATGGTGAAAGACCCAAATTTACACAATTGTATATTTATGGTATACAGAACGAGATATGAAAACAAATAACTCATTTTAGGTATCTCGAATACTTTATTGAGTACACCCTTTTAATAAAAATATTATTTACATGTGTTTGACAATATAATACACATGGAACATTATTAATATGCTAATAAAAACAAATTGTTCTATTTGTTTCGCACAGTAGGGAGAATAATTATTTGACTACTGATAAAAGTTTGGTCAAAGATTCGAAAAATATGGTAGATGAGCATAATGTTTTAACACAGATACTTCGTATTTAGAAGAACTAAGACTTCATGAATAATGAGCCTACTTCTAATGTATCATTGAGGCTCTTGAGAAGTAAGACTTCATATATAATGAGCCTACTTCTAATGCATCATTGAGGTTGTTGAAAAGTAAACTAGAGACTCAAGAAATTATAATATCTCCACATTACATGAAGTTGGTGCTCTAATAGTTAAAGATCTTGATTCTTAACACAAGTTATTCCTCAAAAATATAGTGAACTTTACTTATCCGAACTTATTCGAGAACATAAAAAACTATTATATTCTTTTTTTAAGATGGTGCACTATTGACACCCGTGTTCGAGGTTGTTGAGTGGTAAATGAATTTGTCTTATCCTTTATTCCATGAGGTGAAAAGTAGTACTTAATTTCTTATTCTTCATGCCAACATGTTTGGAATTAAAAAAGACATTTTTGAGTATATTTTCAATTCCTCAAATATTATTTATTCTACCTTGGTGTTTTTGTCTAATGATAAAAAATCATGTTAGAAATATATTTACTTGATCCGGAAAATATATTGCATTAAAAAAAATTAGAATCGACAAAAATTTCGTCGACCCCGTGTATCGCACGGGTAGAAATACTAGTATATATATGTAAAGTTGAGTGTATTGTTTGTGGTGTTGACATGTGGCATGCCACATGTGCATCCACATGTGCACTAATGTATTAGGTGGAAGTATTTCATTGGTCCATTAAGCTTACTTTTTAAAAGGATCTTTTATTATATTTTATTGTATTATATTAAATGAATATTATTTTTTAGCATTAAAAACATTACTTTGATTATATTTTGTATAAAATTTAACATTTTCTAACAATTCTATAAACATATATTTTACCATTGTAAAATTTACTCCATATTTTAAATATGCATATTGATTGTAAAATTTTAAAGAAGAGTATGTATAAGACTCTTTATTATTAATTTAAAAATTATTTCACTTTCAGAAAAATGAAAAAATATTTCACCTTCAAAGATATTAAATTGTTTTTGGCATTTTTATGGTGTATTTAATTTAATATTTTTTAAATTAAATAGTTATAGAATTTTTAGTGCATGTACATCAATATTTATAGTATACTTTTTATTAAAAAAATATACTCCGTATATCTTAGGGTGAAGAAATATTCATTTAAAATAAATAAAATTATATTTATAGAATGTCAAAAATTTAGAATGTATATGAGCCCGTGCGAAGCACGAGGTTGACACTAGTATTTTTATATCAACAAGGACTTAAATCAATAACCTAGACATTTATGTCCTATATCGAGTATTTTTGATACAAATAATTTTGTTTATGGAGTAAAAAATAACAATTAAATTGCCACCCAACATAGTATCCACCACCCATTTGCTTTTGCCATCCTCGATCTATCGTTGCCATCAGTTACACCACCAATCATCGGTGTTAGCCATAAACATAGTGTCAACACACTAGCCTTCGCCACCGCTATAATGTTGCAATCACTATTATAATGCTTAAAATTGTTAGAGAATGCCAAAATGGAGTCAGATAAGTACAAAGCCAAAATGTGAATATAATACCAGCATCATAGTGTCATACTGTCACAATCACTACCAAAACCCTAAAATTGTCAAAAGAATGCTAAAATGGCATTGTATCAAAACAAAGCCAAAATTCAAATATAATGTCACCATATATCATCATTGCCATTATGTCATATTCCCTACCAAAACTCTAAAAATTGTCAAAAGAATACCAAAATGGCATTGGATCAAAATAAATCCAAAATGCGAATACAATGCCACCACATATCGCCACCACCATAATGTCACAATCACTACTAGAACCCCTGAAATTGTCAAAAGAATGCCAAAATGCCACTCGATCAAAACAAAACCAAAAAATGAGGGATAGTTATGAAACTAAAAACAAGATCAAGCGCTAAAACAATGTCAAAAATCAGTATCAAGTGTCAACACAATGTCAAGAATTAATACCGTTGAATTCAAAAGCAATATCAAATACTCCGTAGTATTTTATAATGCAAAATGCCATTAAAGAGAAATAAATACTTGATTCACAATAGAGAACAAATCAAATTGGAAACAATGTTAACAATATCATCCTTAACTTTCAGAAATATACTAGTTTGAGACCAAGGGTGTACACCGATCTAGAAGACTAGAACTGGACCAAATCAAAATTGAAAAAAATTGGAAATCAGAATTTTACAAAGTAGAGGACTGAAAACTGGGCCTGTTTGATTCTTGTTCTGAATTGTTCGGACCAATTTTTTGTGGCCTGATGTGAGTATAACTTGAAAAAAATGGATTGAGTGTTTGGCATAGTATCTATTTTATTTATAAACTTAAAAAATGATATCTAGTAAAGAATTTCACATATCATGAACTAAAAAAAAGTCTAATCTTAAGAAATTGGTGTCCATTTCAAAAGATGATATCTTGTAAATGGTGTCTAGATTCAAATTAATTGTCACGATTAAAAAAAAACATAAACGTACTATCTAGTTTTTATAAACTAAAAAATGATATCCAGTAAAGAATTTCAATTTTTATAAACAAAACAAATGTCTAGATTTTAGAAAATCTTTTATATACAATGGTAAGAGGGTTTTAGGAACACTGTTCCCGCCCATTTGATAAGCTACAGTAGCCGCTAAATTTGGACCGCACATTGGATAAAAATATCTGGTGAAAGCTTCCTGCATACTCATGTGATGTGATAAGAGAAAGAGTATGGGAGAAGCTAAGCCGCTAGGTATTTCCGTCAGATCCGGCCACCTTCCTGCGTACACATCTCGAGAGAGAGGGAGCGTATAGTATGAACATAGTTTTCCGTCAGATCCGCCTGTTCTTTCTTCTCTTTTCGCAGCCGCTTCACCGTCTTCGATCATACAAGGGCTAAGCCATGCACCGTCGACGATCGCCATCCAATTCCAATCAGCACATCGCCGTAGCTGGAGGGAGAGCACACCGGCGTAGGTAAGTAGCCTAGCCGCTGATTGAATTTTTTTTTTCTTTCTAATTTTGAAGTTCCGATAATAATAGTTTTACCATTATCCAACTAATTTCAATTAGCAATTCTTTTTCTTTCAACTTCCTGATATGCAGATCTGACACCCATTACATTTGAATGCCATCATCAGAAGAAGGGGGTGAAGTTTACTAAGGATGGGGATTCCTGGTGGCTTTCAAATTTATTCATTTGGACAAAGGTTTTCAGTTCCTTCTTCTCTGTTTTCACCTTTAAATTTAATATTTTTAATTTTGTTAAGTATTTGAAATTCGAATGAAGTTAATTGTGTTATATATTTCTACTGCCAATTAAGTCCAACTTGCAAGGTAGCTGAGAGTGCCATTAAGCGCGTCCTATGCACAACATTTTCAAATTCATTTCTAGCAACCTCTGATGAAATATTTTAATTTTAATTTTGGGTGCAATCTTAGCACTGCAGTTTTGCTTTTCAATTGGTATTGCAGGAGGATTTTCAAGGCCAAGAAGATTGAGATATCAGACTGCGGATAGCCTCTGCCATTGCGGCTATTTGGGAATGTAGGCCTCTATTTTTCTATATTTTTGTCTTAACTTTTTATGATTCAATTCTTGATGTATAACTACACGGAAAAAAGATTAAAACATTAGCCTCACAACTTCAAAATTTAGGGTAAATTTTAGAGATAATATTTAAACAACGTTGGGCAGAAACTAAAGTACGGGCTATGTTGGAACTTGAGCACTCTGATTTTAGTTTCTTCTTCGTCTTCTTTTTAAACTGTTTCATTTGGTGAATTCCCATTCCTACTTACATCCAAATAAATGGACTACTTTAACTAAAACTCATTTAGATCAATAGGTACGTACTCCATATATCAGATCATGATGCAGATTCCTTTCTAAGGACATTGTAAAACTTTCTCACACAGTGACAAGAATTTGATATATTATACTTTTTCTTCTTCGAATTGCTGTTTTGAAGTTTGAGAAGTGCATTTTCACATGATTTATTTGTATGGTTGTACTTGGCATTGCCAATTAGGTTTCCAACTTTAGTTCATGTCATCAATTTTTAAAAAGTTTAATTTTTTTCTAATTGCAATGGTTAATAATTACTTTACCATAACTACTTTTGTAGATGAACTTATTTGTCTTTAACATCTCACACCGTCCTACGTAATGATGATGTGAATATGAACTGCCAATTGAAGGTCTCAAAGGCATTTTGTCAAAAGACAGGTATGGAATGAGTATTTATTGAGATATCATCTTGGTTATCCCTTTTGAATCTGTTTGAGTTTTTTTAGCGGGGAAGGCTAGATATATATAGAAGCTGTTTCCTCCTATTTTTGATTCTTGATTGGGAGGTTTTGGTTGATGTTGGGGTGCATCTAGCATAGAGTATGTTCTTTATTTTGTTGGAGATAAATCCCTTAAATCCGAGTGTATGAGGAGATTTATTAAAATGCTGATCAAGATAACACTACGAAATAAGTGAGATAACAGACATAAGTGAGATAGCAGTGAGATAGCAGACATTAAATTGCAATATATTGATTTTTACATTATGAGGTGGTGTTAGGAGTTACGACATTAAACAAAAACTAAAAGGGCATTACAAGCAGAGGTATGAACGTTAAAATACATGAAAAGCATGGAGATTAAGCTTGCGAGAGGCCATTAATAAGCTATAGCGTCAAATATTCGTTAAGGTAAACGTTTAATCTAGGGTTTTGTTCTTGATGCCTTTTTGGATTCATTCGCCGTGAAATTTGATCTTTGTTGGTTCTTGATTTGGGATTCAAACGAAGTCTACTCTGTATCTGGTGTAAAATGGTTTGCTTTTTTATATCTGTAACTTGAATGGTTTGATCTTTATTCTTATATCTGTAACGTGAATGGTTTGCTTTTTTATTTCATTACAGGTACCATACATGTCGATGGGTTTGATATTGGAAATATTCAGTTGGATAGTTTGAGGAGACATGTTGGTCTGGTCTCTCAAGATATTGTAAGTCATTACCTATTATAATTTATAGGTGTTTTTGTATTCTAATATTACTGCTTATGTGGATGCACTTCTGGAAAGGGTGAAAACCACTTCCATAAGAGTAAAAATGCTTTACCATGTGGGAAAGATGTTTTCCAAATAAGCTTTTCGATAAAGCTTTTGAAAACACTTATGAAGCTGCATTGACAAACACAGTACTATTTTTAGTAAGAATGTTTTAGTTAAACTTCCTTCATTGAGGTTCATAAGTCCGCCCCTATCAGCTTATTTTGCAAATCAGCACAATAAGCCATTTTTTACTTATTTTGCTGAAATGAATATATAGATTAACCAATGTTTCCAGAAAATTTATCGCATTTAGTTAATTCAGTCAAATGACCCTTACCAGAGGGGTCCAATATATTGTATCCATAGCAAAGCTTGGTGATTATAGTTTGGACTCTGGATAAGGGATTTAGGATGTTTCTTAATATCAACATTATATACTAAAGTCATGCTACACGTACGATTTTAATGGTTGATTGAAATTCTTATATTTTCTAGACACTCTTTTCTGGGACTATTGCTGAGAACATTGGGTATAGGGATCGATTGAGTTCATTGGAAAACTACCCAATGAATATCAAACAAGCGTTGGCCCCCAGGGCTCAGTCTTTAGTGTAGGCCAGAAGCAAAGGTATGTATAACTTGGGACTATTTCTAAATAATGCTTTAAAAAGTACTAGGCACGACACGGGGGGTAGACTGACCTAAGCGGGGACCATTCGTGTGCAACCATGTCCAAAATATGAAACTTAAGGGAGGACTGCCTTGAATTTAAGTTTGTATCTAACCCCTTTAGTATGTGTCTCTTAGGAAGTGTCCACAAACAAATTTGTGTGGGATTTGTTCAAAACAGAAATTCTCAGTTTTTTACTTTTTAAAGAGCATAGTTTCACTATCTTGGAAAGAGAAGTAGGTGGTCTGGTGAAGCCTAACGTGCAAGTGGGGTTTTTTAGAACACATTTCACAATCTGTAAATGTGGATCATGTGATCATAACCAAAATGGGAGTACAATTCATGGTTTCGTGGCATAACTGAGAGATGATGTTTGTATATTTCCTTTTTCCTAGAATAGCTATTGCAAGATGGGAATACAATTCATGCGAAAACATATGCTAGAATTATCTGTGTTATGTTTATGATGTGAATTAAATAGTTCATACTCAAATTTAAAGTACATTTTTTCTTTTTTTTTCTTTCATAAACACAAGAAAATTTGTGAGCCCTGGATGGAAAAATAAAGGAGTTCTTTGATGTACATTAGTCACTCAATATCAGCTCTTTGTTTGTCAACATAGTTTTGCTACATTATTCTAATGCCAATGCGCATGCCCCAGGTACAATCTGAGCCCGAACTTGCAATTGTGGACTCTCATGACAGTATGCACCAGGTGGTTTGTCCCCTCTGAATTCAGTCATTTCCATGTTTTTTTTTAAAACCGTTTTCCATGTTTTGTTATGCGTCAAAAACAATTGATATGTGATATTTCCTTATCGTGACAAAAATCTATTTTATTCTGATAAGACATCAAGCATTCTGTTTCACTGCTTTTTATCCTATCATCAACAGCAGCAGCATCACCTTATTCCCAATTAGACATGTCACTGAAATGAAATTAAGTGTCCAATTAGTTTATAAGAAAATGGACTTAATCACAACGTCGTATGGGTTGCTGAATGTATCAATTGGGATTTTGGGGTGAGGGGGGTGGTCATCTCTATTCTTTGTGTGTGAGTGTGTGCACTTTTTTCTGCAGCATTTATGTAAACTTTCATGGTTGTAGGATAACCTTACCTCAGAGGATATGACCCTGAGTGGATATTATGGAGCACAACAGAACATGCAAGGACTGGTGGGTTGCTGCATATACTGATAACTAGCCCCTGATGTTTACTTTTAAATTTTGTGATTGAAGCATATGTTCGCATTTAGCAGTAGGGCTGAACAAAAGAGACTAGCTGAAACAGAAGCGGTGAAAACCAAACTGCTCAAAAGCAATTTTAACTTGTGCTGATGAGTGTTGATTTACCTGTAGAAGGTTCAGTTTGCTGTTTGGGGTTTATGCATTTTAACCAACTTAAGCCGACAGAAACCAAGGAAAACATGCAAAACCAACCAAAACCGACACAAACTTGCCAAAAATAACCAAACCAGAATCAACTTGAGAGCATTTTTATCAACTTGAGAGCATTTTTATAGCCAAAGGAGGAGGAGCTTGGACAGTGAGTGTGCCATTGCAGCAGGTAGGATGAAATTATTTGTTCAATAATTCTTTTGTTACAGTGAGATTCTTTACATCAATGGAAACACAGAATAATGCTTTGTGAGACCTCTTTTTTTATTCTCCTTTTTTAATACCCTGCTTTAGCTCAAGGGGGTTATTTTTTGTCTATGCCAATTTTCCCTATAAATATTCCCATGTTTCATTTTTTGTAAAATGATTGTACTTGTGCTTTGGTGTATCAATGAAAATGATTTGTCTATATTTCATAATAAAATACAGTATATCATATTTATGTGCGTGTAATTACAATGTCTCACAATTACAGATACTCTGTAATATACAATAGGATACAATTTACATTAGATATTGGTAGGGTCATTAACCAATATTGGGAGTGTACCCTCTTAAAGTAATAAATTATCTTTTCTCAATTCTCATGTTGACTGCCCAAATATGTTTAGAAAGAAAGATTTTACTCCATAATTGTAGCATTTTAATGCCTAACCAACCTACCGCCTTTAGAGTGCAAAATTGTGTCCCAACAAAGAAGGGGTCTTCGCTCCTATTTTGCACTGGACGAAGGTGTGGGGTGCGTTGTAGAGATATGAATCATGAAATTTTTGATAGGAAAACCTAGGTATCCGATGTTAGAATATGACATCAAAATTTAATGTCAAAAACTACAATGTAATTTTTATTTTTAAAATAATACTACAGGTAAAGTTGGTGCCTGACTCTATGCAGATTTTATGTCAGGTCATATTAAAGGAATAGATTCACTGAATCAAGATATTTAATGAGTAGATTGATTGTCGAATTATATATACTACTTATACTCCAAATATTTCATACCTCTCATTCCAATTCGGTCCGTTTTCAAAAAAAATGTCTCAAAACACTTAAGAGTATGTGGAATGCGCTTGCCGAGATTAACAATTATCGAACCACTTGGATGCTTATGCTACGAGCTGTTCGTGTTTTTATTATTTGATTATATGTTATTATTGTTATTTAATTTTATCACTTTCTTTTATCAATGCTTTTCCTAATTATATAGTTTATAATTAGGCCGTGCAACGCACGGGTACGAGTCTAGTGGGTTTCAATTGCATATTAGGTTTGGAGATTTAGAGGAATGAGGAAAAAGGGCAGGTCTTAGAAGATGGGCTACTAAAATTTTATTATGGGCTTTGCAGAATTGGATTACATATTTAGAAATGGGCTACTAATCTAGTTTTATCGGCCCAACCTAATTAAATTTCAGGTCTGGACCGAAATAAATGGGAACTTTTATGGATCCAAAGAGTATGGACTACCTGAACACGTACCGGTAAAAACCTTGTCCTACCCAAAACCAACTATTCCAGTCTAGTTCACTACTTTGATCTGGTATCTGTACAACCCTACTTGAAACTGGTGAGGATGAGTATAATTCATCCTGATACGCCAAGGTCAAGAACCCAACTAACGGAAAATGACTCATCCGTACCCATTTTGGGTACAAAATGTATATGCGTAGACATAGAAATAATATACTACAAATATATGTGTAAATAATGTATTTTGGTGTGGAAATCAAACCGGTAAAAAATGTAAGTTTTTTTCTAGAGCTGTAAACGGATAAAATCCGTCTCGGATATACAACATCCGTATTCGCATCCGTTTAGCCGAAACATCATCCGTATCCGCATCTGTTTTGCCAAAGCATCATCCGAATCCGAATCCGACGGATGTTTTAACTTTCAAATCTGAATCCGAAACCGTCGGATTTTTTTGAATTCGGATATATCCGACCGAACATCCGTTTAAGTATCCGATTTTCTAAAATCCGAATATCTGATTATCCGTTTACACTATTAGAAATCTGAAAATCCAATATCCGTATCTAATTATCCGAATCATAAATAAAATTAAACAGCAAACCAGTTCAAAAAAGAAATTAAACATAGCATCAAACATATTAAATGTCAATTGTCCAACACTCCATCAACAAGCCTATGTGCATGATATCATGTTATGATTATGAATTATTAGATTTGCCTATGTATATGTTCAAACTGTTAGATATTTCTCACTCAGCTTCATTGCTGAGCATGTAACCTCTTTTTCCCCTTGTTACACGTAGGTAATCATCGTTTGTAATCATGGAGGGGCTGACCTTGCAATACATTCTGGAGGGCAACATGAAGGAGAATATGTACGGATGCAGGGATTTAATAATGTTTGATTAAATTATAAGGCTTCCGCATCGTTTGTATAAACTCCGATATGCATTTAAATTGTTTGAGTTAAATTAAATGTTTTTATTTCTTGAAAAATATTGCAATGGAGATACCAATCTAGTAGCAACCCGGTCCCTAACCTATTTATTCGGATTACGCGAGTTAAGGTGTTACAAAAGGTCCTTCTCAATGACCTGAAGCTTTTGAATTGGTTATTTTAAAAAACTGATGCAAAAGGTCCTTTCAAAAAAATTAAAAAAAGTAAAATGATCTTTTACATCGGTTTTTAAAATAACCGATGCAAAAGGTCTAACGATACACGAATTTTAGCCTTTTGCAACTGTTTTTTAAGAATTGATGCAATTGGACCAGTCTATATGCACGTTTTTGTAGTAGTGCTTGTAGATGTAATTGGGAAGGTTGTTAGTCGCATTACACCAGAAAACCATATCGTAGAGCATGTTCCAGAGCGGGTGATTGAAGTTACATTGGATGACCATAAGTATGTGAATATCAAGATTCTCGTCAGGGCCGGTCCCAAGAATTCATCACCCTGGGCCAAAACAGAAAAAAGGCCCTAAAAGTCTTATCCTTAATGGTCTAAAAAATTCACATATGTAAATTAATTATATTTAAATTATAATTAACGCAATATTATTAGAAGAAAAAAATAAATGACAAAAGCTAGCCGAGAATTCGAGAAGTTCTCCTTGCATTCTTGAGAGCAAATTGGTTGATCACATCTTCACAGTCTATGCTCTCTAAGATTTCATTCTCGATAGCTATTACCGCCAATCTACTAAGTCTTTTACTTCTACCTCTTCGTCTTCAGCAACAGGTTTCATAAACTTATATAGAGCTCCGGCTTGAGACTTTCTCATTTCTTCATTTCGTTTTCTCTTTTTTCTTTTTTGACTACCGGATAATTATTTAGGAGGCATAGCTATTGGATTATTTCTGAAATGAAATCCAAAATCATAAATTCTACTAAGTAAAATCAAGAATAAAAAACTGAAAAAAGCAAGCAAATAAATAAATAAATATATCATAAATTAATATCAATTCGTCAATTTTTCTTTTTTAATTGTTTTTTTCTTTTTCAGTTTTAATTTTTTTATAAATCATAAATTCATATCTATTCATCAATTAATCAGTTTTTAATTTTTTTTCGGTTTTTTATTTTTTTAATATAAATATATAATTATCATAAATAACAAATTCAAATCAATTCATCCAAATCAAATAAATAACATATAGAACCATTCATTCATTCTATTTCAAAGAATGAAATTAGAAAAGATTTCAAATTAAAAACTAATAATTAACCCTATATTTTAAATCTAAAAAATGAAACAATGAAATTATGAAAGAAAATTAAGATTTAAGAAATAAAAATTACAAAATTGGAAAGGGAAGACTGAATAATTACCTGGAGGGTGGAGGCGTGCGCAGTGATGGACGGCGACTCAGTGTCCGGCGGTGGAGGCGAGCAGCGTGCAGGTCGGCGACTTGAAGTTTCTAGAATCTGGTTTCTTCGATGAGTTCGATCGGCACTTCGTCTTGCGCGTCTCTTCCGTTTCGTTTTTTTAGTCTACAGACTACTGGACTGGGCTAAGTTAAGGCATGGGTCATGGGCATGGGCTTAAACACATATATATAGATAATACTTAAAAAAAAAATTTTGTGCCCCTCAAAAATTTGGGCCCGGCCCGAACGGACACCTTGTCCCCCTATTAGGCCGGCCCTGATTTTCGTAATCATTGGTTTTTTTATTCTATTTCATGATTTATTATTTCTTTAACTTTTTGTTTTGTTTTTTTTGAGAGAATCGACTGAATTATACTTTGTGGTCTGATCATATTGATCGTGTGATTGATGGTTTTAATAAAAAAATATCAAAACCCCAAATTCTGATGATGCAAATGGTGAAATCTAGGCTATACAATGGTGTTTGCATTATATGTTTCATTAGCATTTTGGAATAGTGTGACACAAACGTTTAAATGAATAACGATTGGTCTTTTTTAATATTTCAAAACGAGTCTTGAGTACTACGGAGTACATTTATAATGTCAGTGAGCTTTTACTGAATGAAAAATTAGAGGAGGTTACCAATTTAAAAGAAAAGTGAGTTTACACTTTTTTATTGTGTTTATGTTCTTGCTATTATGGCTTAATTTAACTCTTTAAATTTAAAACGTGGAGATTATTGACATGTCGTGGGAATAGTTTAACACAATATTGTAGTATTGTGTCAACACAGTTGAGGCCAAGGGATGATTTTATCCACACAGCGACCATTTGACAATAATCTCAATTCGTGATCTCAAATCAATGAAGAGTGTAATATACATCATAATAGTGTATGTGTATTTACTCATGGATAACTCAATGTTGGAATTTTAATAGTAATAAATTGTAATGCTTGAAAATAGAAGTTACCCACTCAAAATATGCCAAAATAATAGTTTCATGTTTCTATTCCTGAAATAAAAATTAAAATGCATTTATATTATACTGAGTATATCAATTTGTATTCCCAATATAATTTAATAATATAAATACAATTGTGCATCATAGTTTCTTGAAATTGTGGTGCATGATTTTCAACCCTATTAGTCCAATTATTACTACTATCAGTAGTCGCTACTGGCTACTCAGTGTATTCTCTGAGTGGCCATAACCCCAATCAATCTCACCGGGTCTTGCTGATTGTCGGGCCGCCGGCCGTCGTTATTATACAGTACTCCTGAGCAAAAAAAGATCTGCAATGGCGGCCGCTAGAGCGATGGTATCGGCGAGCAACACCATCACGACCTCAATACTTTCCCGAGGCCCTTTCAGGAGTCATACCGCTCTAAATATCTGCCTCAAGCGCGCGCCGTCGCAGAAGAGGCGGCTCTTCACTTGCAGCGCCATCTACCGGCCCCAAGTTCAGATCAAGGAAGAAGGCAAGCCCGAGACCCTCGATTATCGCGTCTTCTTTGTTGACAGTTCCGGCAAAAAGGTGTTTTGATTTGTTCTGTGTTTCATTTTACAATTTCTTCCCCAGATTCAAGTTTTGAATTGATTTCCCGTCATGTTTTCTGTTGTCTCCTTGTTTTGGGAATGAAATTTGAGGTATGTGAATTGTGAAGTCTGATATTTTAAGGGTTTGGCAAAACAGGCCAGCGATTAGCTAGCTGTTATCAGCTGATAAACTAATTAGTAGCTCATATGTTGTAAAGGTTCTTAAGTTTCTGGAAAAAATAATCAGAAAAGCTTATTAAAATAAGCCCCGAACTTATGATATTAGGTATAAATCCCTCAATCAAAGTGTCTTATTTGAAAATTTCTTTTAAAAAAGCTAAAATGAAATTATGAGCTAACTTATGTTTTCCCCTTCTGTGTAGTCCTTAGTGATTTTTTGGGAGTTCTATCTAGAATTGAAGTCCTCTGTTCATTTTGAGGCAACACTAATTTTTAGTTGAATTAGTTCCTACTACTTTGGGAGAAAATCTGTTGAATAGACATTAAAAGAAGGAACCGTCAAGGAATTAACTCAACCAAAAGCTCAAAGTCCCGCCAGTCCAGCATAGGTTTTATACTCTAACATGCCCCCGTACGTGCAAGCAAGGTATTTTTACTCGAGCCTTGCACGTGAAAATTATTTTTTTAAAACTGGGTGACTGAGGTTTGAACTCGTGACCTCTTGCTCATCAAGGCTCCGGCCAAGTCAACCAAACGCTCAAGCTTTTGATTGTAGGCCCATGATAGGTTTTATACTATGATCAAGGTACAAAAAAAGTAGCAGAATCAAGAACAGTGGTTGGAGTGTTGGACACATTGTTTTAACGAATGAGTTCAAGCTCAAGTGCTCAACAGCATTATCATGGACATATTTCAGGTTTTATGCTCCTTTTTCTGCCAGTCTTGATGCATACTTTTTCGTTCTATGTAGGTGTCTCCATGGCATGATATACCTCTTCACTTGGGTGACGGTATCTTCAATTTCATTGTTGAAATCCCAAAAGAATCCAGTGCAAAAATGGAGGTTGCTACTGATGAGCAGCACACTCCCATCAAACAAGATACCAAAAAAGGGAAACTTAGATACTACCCGTAAGACTTCCACACTGACCAAAATCTTGAACATTTCCAATAGATGTAAAAAAGTATGCAATTATGCAATGTTTTGATTCAAAACTTGAATATGTCCCACTCTTCTGTTAGGTACAATATTCATTGGAATTATGGATTGCTTCGAGTTTGCACCCTTCTGGGAAGGAAACGTTTGAGACTTCAACTCCCTCGGGAACCTCTGTTACTGGGACCATAGGAGGTAGAGAAAGTTGTATAATAGTATCATTTTTCTTTACAGCTCCGCATGGACTTAGTATAAAAAAACAATATTTTGTGTAGTTGATGTTGTTGAGATTGGTGAAAGACGTGGAAAAATTGGCGAGGTGCTAAAAGTTAAACCTGTAGCTGCTTTAGCAATGATTGATGAGGGAGAACTTGATTGGAAGATTGTTGCAATTTCACTAGATGACCCAAGAGCATCACTTGTTAATGATGTTGAGGATGTTGAGAAACATTTTCCGGTATGTTAACCTTTTTGTGCAATAAGAGTTCTAATGTTACTTTCTCAAACTTTCTTAATTTGTTAGGTTGAATGAGTGATTGGCCATGTTCATTTCCCATGTTTGAAGTGCGGCTGGGTTTCATTCTTTGTTTCCTTTCCAGCAGCTCCATTTTGGAGCTGTTGGAGTTAGTGTTGTTAAAAGAGTATCCCACATCGGAACTTGAAGAGAAAATAAATCGGTATATAAGCTCTTGAGTTGAACTAACTAATCGATTGAATTCAATCTTTTAATGTGGTTCAGCCCAAGTGTCTTATTGCCAATTCAGTTGTCCCTACCCAATTCTTAATTCCATCATGGTATCAGAGCAGGTTTTGGCCCACCTCGTTTGTCATGGTGTCCGTCTAGACGTTCATTCCTAGCGGCCCGTTAGTCTTTAGCCCAGTTGTCCGTATGGAGTATGTACCCAACGGCCTGTGGCCCGTTTAACTCGATTGCACGTCTGGAAGTCCATACCCAGCGGCTCGTGGTACTTTAGGTGTTGGCGCTCAAAAACAAAAAATCAAGGGGATGGGAATCCATTTGCAAGTGGTCAACCGGTTAGATTCAAAATGGCCCGGTTGTCCACTTGAGGGGGGTGTTAAAAGAGTATCCCACATCGGAACTTGAAGAGAAAATAAATCGGTATATAAGCTCTTGAGTTGAACTAACTAATCGATTGAATTCAATCTTTTAATGTGGTTCAGCCCAAGTGTCTTATTGCCAATCCAGTTGTCCCTACCCAATTCTTAATTCCATCAAGTGTAGCGTTTTAGCTACAATAACTCCCCCTTTTCAAAAGTATCCCAACTTTTTTTAAAAAAATACCTACTTTTTTCCTTCTCTAAATTTCCCTCAACCTTTAAAAAAATATCATCATCAGTATTTTTCATCACTACATTAACAACTGAAACAAACACTTAAAGTCTATATTTCTTAACAACTCCTAACAGCAGCCCCAACAGCTACAAACACCTGAACCGAACACACCCTAATAATTTCCCCCTTTCTTTCAGGGCACGCTTACGGCAATCAGGGACTGGTTTAGAGATTACAAGATCCCTGATGGAAAACCTGCTAACAAGTTTGGTCTTGGAAATAAGCCAGCAAACAAGGTATATTCTTGAATGGGGCAACTATTTGGTTGGGTTTAATTTTCCTTTGTAATTCCGAGTATGTAGTTAGCAACTGACATATACTTCCCTTGAAATCGCAGGACTACGCCCTGAAGGTCATCACAGAAACCAACGAGTCTTGGGCTAAGCTTGTCAAAAGATCTATTCCATCTTGTGATCTTTCACTTGTTTAATTTGCAGGTTTTAGAGTATAAGATGTGTAGCTTGTTGACATTAATAAAAGCTTGAGTCTTTCAATCAAGACCTGATTTTTATTATTATTCTTGCAATGAAATTTCTTTTCTTGTTGCAAATCCGGCATTCTGTGTTAGCTGCGGAAAACGAACAGATCGGCTGCATTTATTTACGTTATACGGAGTAGCATTTTATCATTTTTAGGCGTTGGAATCCGAAATGAAACGTTGTTTTTATCCAAGATTGAATAGATATGAAGATAATGTATTTGTCAATAGAATATACTGTTTGTAGAAAATGTTTTTTTTATGTTCACAGTTGGAATCCAAGATGGGTATTTACTTCGGCTTCAGTTTTCTTAATGATGCACTAGTAAAATGAACCAATGCCTCTGCTTGTAATCCACGTGATTGAGTATCCCAAATAAAACCAAATTATAAAAATGCTCGGTTATTGTTTCTGCTTTTCTCATTTATATTGATTCATTAGAGGACTACTAATCCTCTCATCAAAGGACTAATCGTGCAATAATTTTTAAATATATAAAATCATGAGTATAGTTTTTTTACTAAGTAGATTATATGAAAAATCTCATGTTATAAAAGATGTTACTCCACATTATGTGTATATATATAATTTCTTTTCAAATTAGTTTGAATTAGTAGTTCAACGAGTATGTATGAGCCAATGCGTGAACCGATTCAATTTTGAAAGCTATAGTCACATTCCCCAATCTGTCTATTTTAAAACTAGTAGAAAATTAAAAATGTGCTTAAAATTAATAGAAAAATAAGTTGGTGCTCTTATTTGATATAAAATAAAAAATGTCATAATTAGAATTTGTTGAATGTTCATGCTTTTCTTTTTTAAATTTCTTGAAATGCTTCATAAAAAACTTATTTTTAAATTTTCTACTTAATCTTTTCATGCAAATAAATTTAAGGCGCCATAAGTTTTTGATTTTAAAACAAAGTTTAATAAATTGTTTTGCTTCAATTTAGATAAGAAAGAAAATTATTTAGAGATGAAGGATGTATGAGTGGGAAACTAATTTGGGAGAGGGAGTAAATTTGTAGCTCCTAGATAGGCATTCTAACAATGTTCATACTGCATTCTTTTATTTTTAAGGAAATAGGTTTGTAGCTCAAATCATTTCTCTCTTTTTCAAACATAATTTTATCACTTACTTTTTAACACTAAAATCAAACTAGTGAAACTAGTAACCTTTTTAGAGGAAGAGAGTTCTTTGTCTAGATAGAACTAAGGGGACTTGCCAAATTTTAATTTAAAATGATAAAATTTATGACGTCTATCTACTTTAAATTACTAGTAAATTTTAAAATAAAAAGTATTTTGTAAATTATTTCAATAAAATTGTCAAAAAAATTCAAAATTTTAACTAAGAGCAGTAGCAGTAGCGAGACATTTGCCTCCCACGCCCTGCCATGTCATATTTTTGCCTTGCTAAGCATGGCATACCCTTCCCGTGTCACTTGCTTTCCATGGCATATGCAAGACACATTATTGCTTTTTTTTTCTTTTTTCTTTTTCTTGATTTGTTTTGTCAAATAGAAAGAAACTTTTTTGAAGGCATTATACCTAAAAATTGGTATATTTTGGCGTTAAAATAACTTTTGTTTGCGTATGTTTTTTTTCCATGGTTCAATTGGTAAAATAAAATATTTTTTAAAAATTGTTTTAAAAAACTTTGGATAAAATATATAATTTATACTCTTTATTTTCTTTTCAATTTGCAAATAATAACAATTTAAAAGATATGATCTTTTACAAGTTGTTTGAAAGAGGATTTTTTGGGAACGATGGAGTAATTTTATACTCCATTCGGCCAATGCAACAATAATAATATTTTTTTTCAATTTAACTTTTCACCATTTTAAAATTTTTACAAAATAAGCAGCGATAAGAATAATTTATTTTATTAAATATACCATGAAAAAGGGAAGCACAAAAAATATTATCCAAATCTAAAAAAGTAACTATGACATTTTTGGGAACGGAGAGAGTATAAACAAAGTAGAATTATTTTTATAAAAATATTAAATAAAAATTAATATTAATAATTAAATACATAAAAATGTAAAAAAGTGACAAAGATAATGACTTGCCACTGCAATGCATGCCACTCCACGCTCTTGCCACACGATGACTGGACTGTTTTCTATTGGTTGAAATGTTCCACGTCAACGTGTGACATTCCATTTTTTGCCTTGCCATTGCCCGTGTTCTAAAGCACGACTTTTGATTTTTGTGAAATAAAAAATACCAATTTATTTATAATTTTTTTTTCAATATTAGGTATGCCGTTAATTTTTCTAGCCCGGAGTATTAATTTTAAATAATTATTGACAATGTATCTTAAGTTATCAACAAATATAAGTTGGTGCCTTTACTTAATCACAAATTGTTGATAGATGTGCTTTTCTTTTACTCTCTATCTCAAAATAAAAATGTTTATGACATTACACAGAATGAAATGAAATTTTAAGTTTTTTCAAATTATTTTATTTAAAAATTCATATAAAAATAAAAATATAATTTACATATTAAAAATTTACGTCAAAATATTTTTAAAAATAGTAGATGGCAATATATTTTATTTATCAAACAATTCATAAAAACATATAAATAAACAAAAAATTATGTGATATTTGAATAATAAGCACATTGAGGGCTGTTTGTTTCAGCCTCTTAATGGTTCAGATGTCTGAATGGTTCAGCACTTAATGGTTCAGACTATTTGTTGCAGCCTCTTAATGGTTCAGATGTCTGAATGGCTCAGACATTTGCCTCTGAATGGTTAAGTATTATACAGAGTCTGAATGGTTAAGACCTTTTATCTGAATTGATCAGACATTTTCCTCTGAATAGTTAAGCAATATACTAGCTCTTAATGGTTCAGACCTCTTACTGGTTCAGCACTTAATGGTTCAGACCTCTTACTGGTTCAGCACTTACCTATTCAGAAGTTGCCAAACAGCCCCTGAGTAATGCTAAGTCACAAACAAACAGTTCACAAAATTCACAAACTTGCTGTTGGCCATGTGTGCAGCAATTGTCCCATGGCGGAGGCTATGTGGGCCAAGTCATAGTCGAATGTCGTGAGCGCTTGTGTGTTGAATGCACTATAAGGCTAGGGTATGCGCCTCTTCTAACACCAATTGGTTTTAGAAGAGTTGATAGCGCCTGAGGTCCTATAAGTGGTATCAGAGCCAAGGTCACGAGTTCGATTCCCAGCGGGAGCAATTATTGAGGGGGAGATTGTTGGCCATGTGTGCAGCAATTGTCCCATGGCGGAGGCTATGTGGGCTAAGTCATAGTCGAATGTCGTGGGCGCTTGTGTGTTGAATGCACTATAAGGCTAGGGTATGCGCCTCTTCTAACACCAATTGGTTTTAGAAGAGTTGGTAGCGTCTGAGGTCCTACACTTGCCTTTTTAGCACTTTTCTAGAAATAAGATGCACTCAAATAATAAAACATATTTTAATTTAAAATCTATGAAGTTTGCGTGAACTATAAGTTTGTATAAGTTTGTGGTTCTAGCATTTTAGAAGCACATTCTTGTGGGAACAACCAGAGTTATTACAAACGCCTGTTTCCATTGGGCATTTGCAAATTCAGACAGTGTGGAAAATGCAATCCTGGAAAAATCTCTTCTTCTCCTCGTTGAAAAATCGCTCCGCAGCGCCTCCCAATCTCCTTAAAGGGTAACTTTTTCGCATTACCACTTTCCAGCTTTGATTTTCCATCTCAAATTCGTTTATTTACTGCATAATTTACTGGTTCTTGGTCTGTGGCTGCTGTCTGGATACATGCTCTATTTTAGGACTTAACATTTTTTTTTAAAAAATTTTAAATTTTTAGTTCTTGGTGTTAAGAGCGAGGTAATTTGCTAATATTTCCAGGAATCAAGTGAATCATGTTATACTATTCAAAAATAATAGTAATTCAGCTATGAGTGATGTGCAAAATCTAATTTTGTGGGCTTAAATGAAAAGAATTTTAAGTGAAGGGAAACCTCATTCTTGATTCTTAAAGATTAGAAAACAAAAAAAAGGTGCATTTTATGCGAATTTTTGAGCGTTCGATTGACCTAATTAAGCAGGTTATCTTTAGGCTGAAACCAGATATTGTAGGGCAGTAAACTTAGAGATAGAGGCAGAGGCTCAAGAGTGAAAAATTGTGAAGGATTAGTATTGGGCAAAACTCAAATCCAAAAAAAAAAAAAAACTCTCAAGAAGTGAGTGTCGTCTAACACTTAAATTTAAAAAAATTCAAATTTTAGAATACTCTTGCATCAGTTGTGAAGCTAGTGATGGGAGAAGAACACCATAAATGACTATTTAAAAAAATGTTTTCAAGTAGCTTGCTCATATACATTTTGTGTCTACGGAAGATTCCACTCTACCAGTTATAAGAGGTCAAACGGACAGAAAGATGCTCCTATGTTGTCTGGTCAACCCCGGAGTTCAGCCTCAGGTTCATGGAGATCATATGCATTAGTATGGAACCTTTACTTGTACTTCATTTCCAGTTCTCTTTGAGTTACTCTTTGTGGCACGCGGTTTCCATTATATTGTTTTCTTTTTTCTCATTTTAGTTCTACTTGTTGCAGCCTGGGGCTCTTTTAGGTGGAGTTGGAGGATTAGTTCTTATTTTACATTACAATGATGAACGGAGAGCAATCCCTAAAGGTGTTGTTCAACAAAGCAATTTTATGATGACACTTGTACTTGGAGAAAATAAAAAAAAGTTGTACATTTGTGAAACATGACTCCTTTTTTTGGGACAAATGGAGTAATGCATAAGCTATGAGATGCTATGTTAAGTAAATCTTTACCATTTTCATTGTTTCAGGTCAGGGCGTAAAGTTGGAAAGTACAAATCAAGGGCCAATCATTGGTAGCCGGTTCAGTTTAATTAATGAGGAGGGTAAACCAGTAACTGAGCAGAGCTTCCTGGGAAACTGGGTTCTTCTCTATTTCGGTTACACACATTCTCCTGAAGTTGGACCAGCTGAAGTCCGGAAGATGGTGAGAACCATTGACATACTAGGTACTAAAGTTTAGCTGAAAGATGTGAATCTTAGAGCCTGTTTGGCAAGGCTGAAAATGGCCGAATCTGATGGAATTGTGGATAAAACGGCTGATTTGGTTGAATTGTCTGAAGACATTATAAATAAGTTAAAGAAATATTCTCTTAAAATTGATTGAAAAACTCTTTGTATTAATTTCTGTCTCAACCATATACCGAAGATGAATATATATAGGAAGAGTCTCAACAAGCTCAGAACTCTAAAAAGGAAACAGTACTATACAAGGAAACAAATATTACATCATAAATAATACGGAGTATATGCTAAAATATATGCCAAGGTATATTTCCACATATATTCCTTTCCTTAACACTTTTGCTGCATTGTGTAGAAGGATCAAAACCCGATGTCAAGATTCTTCCAGTATTTGTTACCATTGATCCTCAGCGTGATACCCCTTCTCAACTTCGTGCGTATCTTCGAGGTAAGATTTTTTCAAGCTGTTTTTTATGTCTTCTGAAAATGCATAATAAAACCAGAACAAAAAACCCCCCCTCGAAGCGTGTGATTTAATTAGTTTTTTTTAGTGTTCCAATGATGTCCCCGTGTTCCTGCAGAGTTCGATCCAAGAATAGTAGGATTGACTGGACCAGCCTCTGCAGTCAGGCAGATAACACACGAATACAGGGTGTTCTTTAAGAAAGTTGATGAAGAAGAAGAAGATGATTATCTGGTCGAATCTTCTGAGAACACGTAAGCCTTGGCTCCTATTCTTCTTCATTGATCTCTCGCTGTTAACTCGCATTGCTTACTTACCCAATGTGATGGGTTTAACCATCTTTGAGCATAGAATCTATCAATGGCACATTGTGAAATTATCATTGGTAGGTATTTGTTGAATCCAAAAATGGAAGTGGTGAGATGTTTTGGAGTGGAGTACAGTGCAGAGCTTCTTGCGGACGAAATTGAGAGGGAGACGGGGAAGGAGACCAATGCCATTCAACATCATTAGGGTGGGGCTTGTGGACTAAAGAAAACCAAATGTGTGGTTTTGGTTTTTGCAGTTTCAATCCATTTGCTCACTTCATTCCCCACAATCAACTTTCGGTCTAAGCCTCCCATATTAAGAAAAAACATTGAATTCACCTTCCCATTGGATTAAATATAGAGGAATTCACTTAAATAATACTAAAACATAATGACTTTCCTTAAATAGAACCACATGTGTTTTTCTTCCCAATATAGCACTTTTAGTCATTATGCATTAGTCATTATTCAAGTAAATATTCGTCATCACTGGACATTATGGATATTATCAAGTGCTACTTAGAGAATAAAATAATTTAAGTGTTATTTAGAGAAATGACTCAAGTTTTAATGTTATTTAGTGCAAATATTTCTTAAATATATTCCGTATTTGTTCACCAAAACTGTGACCAAATTTAAGCCATCTCATTTTCCACTTTACGGACATAATTCGTCTTAAGCACAGACTATATTTGTTTGAGCGACACAAATGAGTTGTCGTCTTTAGCACAGTCTATTTGTTTGAGTGGCACAAATGAGTTGTGTTTGTGAGGTGCAAAAAAAATAGGGTGGTGCAAAATAGTTCTTGAATATTTTAGATAGTGTATTATCATTTCTATATTGAAAATGGTATGTGGATAACTTAAAAGTTAGACAGGTAAATTCTAGGTGGATTTAAGGTCCACGACGGACATTAATATAGGCAGGTAAATAAATGCTTATAGGCGGGATGATAATCATTTATTTTAAAATCATAGGTTGAGAATAGAGGAACTACACCTGACAAAAATTGACTTGACCTGTTTTTTGCTCAAGATTCAACTTGAAAATATTAAGTTTTGAACAAAAGTCTTGTTAACCATACAATCCGATCTGACCGACCTGCTAGCGTATAGCCAGAGTCTTTCAAAATTCTATACTTTAATACTCTCTTCTTCCCAATTTTGATTACAATCTGTTTTTTCTCATTTCTCGATAACTTTTGTTTATATGTGTGTTTTCAATGATTATTTGATCAAATAAAATATTCTTGTCATCTCTTGTTTTGTAAAACATTTGACGTAGTTTTTTAATATGTAATTTTAATTTTTATTGATGTAACAATTTGTAAATAAAATGATTTCAAAAGATACATGGTTTTACCTTGTAAATTTCCAATTTGTAATCAAATTTGGACAGAGGGGGTACGAAAAATAATGTTATAAAAATAAAGACAGGTTCTTATTTTTCTTTCTTATTACTCATTTTTTGTATATAAATGTATATATTCAAATGTGTTTTAATGATATCATGCAGTTATAGATTTTTTTTTAAAAATTGTGATATACTCCGTATTATCATTGTCAAATTATACTTTTAGCCATCTAGATAAAAAAAAATATTCCCTCCGTCCCACAAAAAAGTTCTCATTTTGACCATAAATTGGTCAAACTGTTGCACACTTTGACCTTAAATTAAATATAATCTAAATAAAGAAATGCTAAAAGAATTTGAGATATCAAAACTAGATCCTAAGATGAATCCAATTATATAAAATTTATTTCATAATTCAATATACCGTTCTCACAATTTGTAGTCAAAGCGTGTAAATATTTGACTAAATACTATTCAAAATGGGAACTTTTTTGTGAGACAGAGGAAATACTATTTATGAAAAGATATCTATAAGAAAAAGACTACTGGGGTAATATTTGATAATAAGAGACTAAATAGGGAGAGGTTTAACACCAAATTTCAAATAAATTTAATTAAGAATAACTCTAATAATTCACAAATAAGAACTTTTTTTTGTGGGATATGATTATGAAGACACTAAAGTAGGCGAAAAAGTGTGCCCTAGTTAATCGGATAATTTGGCCTGCATGCAAGCAAACTTGAATTTCCATTTTATTCCTTCCCTTCCTCTAAAATAGGTAGATGGTCTCAATTTCTCCATCACCGGGACTTCAGCTTTCCCACATGATCCACACATACAACAATTAAGGAAAAATCAACCCAGCAAAAATCCAAGAAATCTAAAAATTAAAAATAAAAAAAATAAATAAAAAGAAAGAAACATTCATCCTTTAAACTGTTCCACCCTTTTTTCCCTGTGAAATCTCATAAAGGAAACAACACATTGCCTTGTTCTTGATGATTCCCACACCTTCCGGCGGAGGGTACCGGCTATTTCCTCAAACAAGGCCGGCCTCTGGGAATTGAAGCCCCGCCTTGTTAACACAATCTGATCGGAAATGGGAGATATGTCTCCTGAGAAAAGATCGGGTTGTGGGTTGCTAAACGCGGTGTTTGGGAGGAGGAGCATATGGCCGAGAAGATCGACCTCCACCGGCTCACTTCAAATGCAGAATCCCAATAATGTCCCCAGAGTTCCCAGCACTCCCAACTCCCCCAAGACCTACTATTGGGACGGTCCGGACATTGCCCAGAAACAATCCTCCCCTGCTGACCGAATCATCGCCCGCCCAGGCCCCAACCATTCCAAAGTTTCTTCCCAGAATCAGACCCCGCCCGTTCATCAGCAAATCCACCCAAACAACAAGAGAACACCCAATGTTGGGAATGAGAAATATAATGGCGGCAGGAAGGTTCCCCAGGGGGCTACAGGGATATCAGGGGAGCTAGAGAGCATGATCTTGGATAACCAGAGGTCCGCGGCGGGGAATGTTATGTCATTTGGGAGTCTGGGGAATGTGAGACAGACTGGGAGCAGTAATAACAATGGAGAGGAAGAGAGACAGCCCGGGAATTATGGTGCGAAGGGCAATTTGGTAAACAAACAAGAAAGGCGTGATGAAGAAGAAGGGGGTGTGGCAGAGAAGAAACCTGCTGCTGCTGCCTCACTTTGTAGAGCTATATCGACGCGGATGGACCCAGAGGAGTTGAAAATATTGGGGAACGAGGATTACAAGAACGGGAGGTTTGCAGAAGCCTTGGCTTTGTATGAAGCGGCAATCTCCATTGATCCCAATAAGGCTTCTTACCGGAGCAACAAATCTGCTGCTCTCTCTGCTCTGGGAAGGCTTCTTGAAGCTGTTTTTGAATGCAGGGAAGCAATCCGGATCGAACCCCATTATCAAAGAGCTCATAACCGTCTGGCCACCCTATATGTCAGGTAATGCAGTTAAAAGACTTTTCTTTCTGGTGGAGGAACAATTGGGACTTTGGGTTCATCGTTTCCAAAAAACCAAGTAGAACTACTTACGCTTCATGTCTTGGTTTCTTATTTCTATATTTGTTCAGATTGGGAGAAGCAGAAACTGCAATGTACCATTACAAACGAGCAGGGCAAGAAGGAGATCCTGATGTGATGACCAAGGCAAGAAATCTTCAACTTCATCTCTCCAAGTGCACGGAGGCGAAGAAGCAAAGAGATTGGAACAGCCTCGTTAAAGAAAGTGGGCTGGCAATATCAGCTGGTGCCGATTCTGCACCACAGGTACACACAGACACCTAAGTACCCAACAAACCAAGCCATTCCTTTGTCAATCAAATTCGCTTTGTTAGAGTATAAGAAAAACCTTTTCTGGGCCACAACCACAAGCTTGATCTTTTGGTTGAGTTGGTTCCTTGACACTCTCTTCAATATTTATTGGGGTGATTTTGTTGATCGTCCAGATATTTGCGTTGAAAGCCGAGGCACTGATACGGCTCCATAGGTACCATGATGCAGACGAAACAATGAAGAAGGCCCCGAAATTCAGTGTTGATGAATGCACCAAATTTCTTGGTCCTGTTGGCAATGCAGCCCTCCTGGTCATACAAGCTCAAGTCAACATGGCTGCTGGAAGGTTAAAATACAGTACTAAATGCAAGATCAAAACAAGAACAAGGCTGTTGTTACCTCTGTTCTTCCAAATGCAATCAATCTGGTCTGAACAGCAGCAAACATTTTTTGTTTGTTCTGCAGGGTGGATGAAGCGAGGGAGGCAGCAGAAAATGCAGCCCGGCTAGACTCAAACAACAAGGAAGCAAGCATAGTGGCTATGAAGATGCGCGCGGTGGCGAGTGCGAGATCAAAGGGTAATGAACTTTTCAAAGGCGGGAGGTTTTCAGAAGCATGCATTGCTTATGGGGAAGGACTTGACCATGACCCCTACAATGCCGTCTTGCTGTCCAACCGAGCTGCCTGCCGGATAAAGCTTGAGCAGTACGAGAAAGCATTCGAGGACTGCAATGCTGCACTTACTTTCAGACCATCTTTCACCAAGGCTAGACTTAGGAGATGTGATTGTCTCTTCAAGGTTGGCAGGCTTTACTTACTCTCTCAGCCTAGTGCCCTAGACTAAGCAATTTCAATATTATTGTTGAGTATCTCATCATCATCATCATCATAGGTTGTCTATTGTGCTTCAGAATGGTATTTAGGAATCCGTTTCGTAAGACCGATTTGGTGACCTCCATTTTAGCCAAATAACTTCGTCAAAAGCTACTTGGTAATTATAATGCTGATAAACCGTAAAAGCCAAATAAACTAGTAAAAGTTAATTTGACTTTTTTATGATTAGTCTAATGGCGGCTTGTAGGCATCTGCCCCACTCGATGGTTTGGGGAAGCCAGATTATGGATTGATTTAGGGTCGTTAGGTTCATTTGTCCAATCCAGACTGATCTAGAAAGGTGTGATGTGTGTCATACACAGGCTGTCTATTGAATTTAAGTGTTTTTATATTTGTGAGATATATCAGATCTCTTCATGATTTTTGAGGTAAATTAAGCTCAATCTAACAATTATAATCTTGAAAATAACTCCTTTTTGAACATTTTGGTTTGATTGATAGATGGGGAAGTTGGAAGCCTGTATTCAAGATTGCGAGGTATTAGTAAAAGAGTTGCCAGAAAATGAAGAGGTTTGCAGTATGTTAAAAGAAGCAAAGGTGCAGCTAAGTAAACTGCAGGGTAATGGTAAGTAGCTCCAGATGAAAACTGCTGTTGACATTGAAGATGAAAAAGCCAAATCAGATGGATTGAGATAGAGAGCTCTCGAGTTTGAAACTTGCTACATCAGAAGCGGAGGGGTGGAACGGTCATATTACATGGCAAAGAAAGGAAAGAATCATTTCAGAACCTAAATTAGGATTAGAAGTGAATAGATTACACAAACATTGAAGGACCAAACAATGATTGCTCATTTTTCTTCATCTTCTAATGTATACAATGTAATTATGTTTAGTTTAGGATGTTTGTGAATTAGTAGATCAATTATATGTTTATATAAAGAGGCCGTTATCTTTATGCACAGTTCCTCTTTATTCTTAATTACAACTTCCTCAGCCAAAATCCCCTTTACTAAACATAATTACATTACATACATAAAAAGATACACAACTTTGTAGACGTTCTTAGCTGATAGAGTCACTACAGTAATTTAAAAAAGGATTCACTTTCCTTGAGAGGAAAATTCAATAAAATCCAAATCTAACTCTCTACCAAGGATTTACTTGCCTTCAAATGGGGAAACATGTTTCCATATAAAGCAATCATTTTATATGGTTAAACATGGCAACAAAAAAATATCATTTGTTGAGTATACATACATGAAATAAGGACAGTGCCGAAGGGTAAGGTGAGATCTAGAGCACACAAAATAAATTGTATTAAAGCATAAGTTTTTACTCAACCTTTAAAACTCAACCTTTGTCAAACATTGTTGATAATTTGAGATACATATAATGGTAAATGAAGACATTTTCATGACATTATTTTTCAGTTATTGAACTTCTTTCAAGTGAACTGAGCCCCAAATTTTCATTGAATCATACCAAACTTTGCATCATTTTTGTGTCCTTGACATTTTTAAGATCTTGGGAAGAAGAAACTATGCGAGTGAGAGGTTTATGACCTTAGATTCAAGTGGGGGATTTGTGATTACTAAGAAATAAAAAGGACACAAATATACGAAGGGATCCTATTGGATTATTAATTACTTACATAAAAAGGAGAACAACAATATTATTAATATTATTGTTGTTACATTATTATATCCATGCCACTTGATTGATTGCATTATTCACAAAATAGGGCAATTCAAACAAGGGAAGAATTCTAACTTGACCGTGCCGACTCGATGGCAGCCACTAAGTCATCTAGCTTGGCTCCGGTCACCTCTTGGACAATCTTGCCATACTTGAGAACCTTGAAAGTGGGAACAACCCTTACACCCAGCTCCATTGCCAATGGCTGCCAAATTCACAAACCCACAATATGAGAGGGGAGAAAAGGAATGTGACGTGGAGGGATGAGCGCTCAATATTAGAACACCAACACCTACCTTGTTTTCTTGGTTGCAATCCAACTTTAGAAAGACAACATCAAGGTACTTTGCAGACATTTCTTCAAACTTGGGAGCCATGACCTTGCAAGGACCACACCTATACATCATACCAAAACCAGATCCAAGTTTTTTTCTTCAAAATAGCAATTCATTATACCAACTTTTGTAAAAAGTGTTGTAAACTAGTCAAAGATTAATAGAGATTAGGCTAGATTTAGGTATGATCTTTTGGTGTAATCTAGTCGATCCCAAATAGCTTAACCTTGAAGCTTGGCTCAACTGAAATATTGAGCCTCAGCTTGAGCTTGATCAAGCTCTATTTTGAAACTCGATCTCAGTTCAGCTCAAACTATTCAAGCTTGCCTAACGTAAGCTCCACTCTTTGTTTATTCATTCATATATATAACTGTCATAACAAAACTTGAAATTATTTGTTAAGAGGACCAAGAAAAAAGGTTTATATTGTAACTAGCCTCTCACACGAATGCAATTCGGACTCTACAACACAAAAATTTGTTGAAAATCAAATATAACTAAAGAGTTCTATAATACCATTTCTCAAATGTTGAAAATCAGAACACAATTTTTCAAATCCATCAACAATAATAACTTGCAAGGAAACATAAATGATAGAAGAAGGATGGCAGAGCTACCACTGAGTATACATGTCGACCACAACCGGTTTATCACCGGCGGCTTCAATAATAGGCCAGAAGGTATCTTTGTTGACCTCCGTCACCTTACCAAACGACGGAGTAGTGGTTTCCGTAGGCGTGGAAGTCGATTCCGAGCTCGCCTTCACCGTCAATTTCAGCCGTCCTCCTCCCGATTTCGAGGTCCTGGGCTTGAATCCGCGATCCGCTGCGACGCAGGTCACAAACTGATTGGTGGAGCAGCGCGAAGAATTCAACATTACAAGGTTTACTCCCGCCCTATCGCCTTGAACTTGAAAAGCCATTAGAGAAGAGAAGAGAGGGCTATACAGTGGGGTGGGTGATGAGAAGAGAAAGATGCGCGGCGGCGAAGCCTCTTGAGCGGTGGTGCCGGATTCTGATGTTTGGATGCCGTTATTTGAATGACAAATTTGTCCTTGTGAATTTGGGTACTTTTTCTTTGTGTGTGGCGGGGAATGCGTTTGGGAATGTATTTGGATAACAGTCCGTAATTACTTTATCCGACTCAGAATCTCAGATAGAGTTTATAGATCTCGGACCGTGGATGGGGAGGGCCTTTGCCTTTTTAGAAATCACATGACTAAGACTAAAACATAGAGAAAAGTATCAAAATAAGATTTTCATGTTTTTTTCCTGAAATAGGACTTTACATTTTGGTAATGTGACTTTGTATTGTGGTAATGTGATAACGTACATGTGCACATTACTATATGTTTTTGGTCATGTATATGACCATGTTTGGTAATGTAAGTCCTATTTCGGAGAAAAAAACATAGAAGTCCTATTTTGGTATATCTTCAATGTTTTAGTCCTACTTTGGTTTTTCTCTCTTGCCTTTTTTAGACAAAGCTACTCCCTCCGTCCCAGAGTATTTGTCTCACTTTCATTTTTACACATCATTCAATACACTTCTTTAATCCATTTTATCTTGTAATTTGTATATTTAAAAATTATAGAAATTATATATTAATAATCCATGTGTTAAGACAAATCAAACAAGATCACACATGACTATATTTAGGCTTACACATTGAGAGAATTTGATGAGTCAAAGTGCTTAGATGAACAGTTCCAAAGTCAAAAGTGGACGAATATAGCGGGACGGATGTAGTATTTGTTATTTTTCAAAATTAATTTATTTTTAATGAAAAAAATAAAAATATTGTTATATTTAAAACATATTTAAATATATGTTTGGTTCTCGATTTTTCAGTATGGTAAGTTATCTCGTACCAATCCAAAATACCGGACCGATCATTCCGTTTGGTACTACTCTTTTTCGATATTTTATCAGTTTGATATTTTTCGATTCGATAATCTCGTTTTTTTCGAGAAATTTCGGGATCGGTTTGATACGCGCCCACGCTTACACGCTTTATCATTATACTTTCTCTATCTATAAATAATCTTCTCGTTTTGGATTATAATGTTTAAACAAAAGTATTTTCAATTTAATTTATTCAAATATCGGGGAAAAA